CTGCAGTTGAAGGCCACAGCAAAGTTGATTTAATGTCACATAGTAAGTGCATAATATCATTTAACAGTCAGATGAAAAGACTCCTATAAGCTGTAACCAGTCAGGATGCACGAAATATACTTAGCTGCAAATTTTAAGCTCTTCAAGCAGTTCGTCTATCTATTCGAGCTTATGATTCGAAACGCTGTAAAGAACTGAACAAATCCATTCGTCTTGAGTATTTCGGGACCTTCCGCGAATAACTTGGCATAGCACTGTTTTCAGCCATTTAATATCAACAGCAATAACAGGCATTACGCTACTAATTATGACATTAAACAAGCAGCAATCATGTAGGTCAGGGTGAATCGCAGCTTAATGAAGCGTTCATGTCAGGCATGGCAGCATTGAACTACTCTACCATTCTGGTATAACCACACCTGAATGAACTACTGTCCCTGTTATTCGCAAATCGACAACCTGCTGCTGGTTTCACCGATTGCCCTGAAGTAATGGGGGTAGATTTCCTGATCAACGAAATTTACGCGTCCTTCTCTGTATGTGCCACCGCGACTTAATTTGCCCATGTGCGTATTTTTTCCCTGCTGAAAATCATCAATTCATTGGTGACTGTTGAAGCAGTATACCTTCAACCGTCAGTATAAGCAGGGATTAATTTTTGACGCAAACAAAATTCTCGAAATATTATAGTCCCGCAATCTGTTCCTATGCCATTGTATTCCACTCTGTAATATCCAAATATTCACCGGCTAATGCGACAATTATTCAGGACCACTAATCCTTTCGGGACTCAAAGGTAGACATATCAGCCAGGGCTTCCAATGTTCTCCAACCTCTGCCACAGTTCCAGCTTCAGCAGAAGATACCTTAGTTTGGAGCAGAGTCCTTCTATGCACTTGCCCTAAGTTATCCTTAGGGTGTTCGGACGGGTCAACTGGGTAAGTAGTAGCTGTTTCGCCTTCCTGTCTAAAAGCATTTGCAACATGTACCAAAAACCACCGTAGCTGTGGCAACTGAGTCTGGAAAAGCAGCAGTTGCATTTAGGTTCTCCCGGACATGTGGAGACGCATGAACCTAACGATTCGTTTCAGAACACCCATTCAACTCCTTATACAGAGCGCAGAGGGCAGGAGAACGAAAAAGCACTAGGTTTTCGTTTTAGAATTTTTCATGTGTACCAGCCACTTACCACTCGTCTGCAAACTTTTCCAGAAGGCGCCGGAGATCAGTTTTGGAGAACGCCAACCAGACAAGGTCGTCTCTCAGCAGGAATCTACTCATCCTTCTAAATCTTCAACGCTGATACACTCGTCCTTCTGGCTGCGCCTAATATCCTGTCCATAGCATAAACAGGAAAGGTGACACAACCCAAACTTCGCAGAGACCTATGCCAATGTTCAAAGATCTGTTTAATGCCATTCTCTCTGACACAACTGCCATCAATATACGGTGATTGGATGGCTCGTATCAACTGACCATCGATCCCGTGCTTGCAGGCACACCCACAACGTGTTTGAGGGATCCGGTCATAGGCTTTTTCCTACGTGTAAGCCTAAAGATTTCTCAGCTATC